TGCGAACAAGTAGAATCGTAAATTGAATTGATCATTTTGCAAGGAAACAATTATTTTAGAAGCCAAGTCAAATTTTGATTTTAATGAAACTTTGCATAGATTACTTTGTATATAAATAAATGAATTAAAAAAATGTTAGTTGTAGCCCAAAAACAGGATCAATCACTTTTCTTGTGTAAAGAGGTTTTCAGTTTTTTTTTTATTCTTTTTATATCTCAAAAATTATTCAAGATATAAAAAAATATTTTATATGAAAGTTTTATAATAAAATTACCTTGATTTATCTAATATTTTGAAAAAAAATAATTTAAAAAAATTTGTTTAATTTCTTAAATTTAAATAATCATATTATTGATGTGAATAAAAAGAAGTAATTTTATTGTAAAATTTTTGTATAAAACATTTTTGATATCTTAAATAAATTTTTGAAATATAACGAAAAAAACTAAAAACCGCTTTACATATGAAAGGTGATTTTACCACAACCATTTTTGGACCGCAATATATATATATATATATACATATACATATACATATGGTCTTCTTAGAAATCATGTATGTATACAATTTCAATCAAAATTTAAAATCAAAATTTAACACTTCGTGAGGTTTGTAAGTCAAAATAAGAGACTATTCATTGTACATTGTCCAACAAATTTCACATGGAAATTTTATTACGCGTACACAGTCATTATTTATATCCATATCAAAATTTCTTAAAATAGTCGCAGAAGATAAATTCCATATAATATCTATAAAATTTCGAACGACAGTTAGATAATTAGGACCCAGTTGCATCACTTTGACTTTAAGCGAGACTTAAAACTCTATCTGTCTCGTTTTGAAGCCAAAAAGAAACGGAAACAGAAAAAGTTCCTCGCTTAAAATCAAAGTAACGTTGGTGCAATCGAGCCTCGGTAAAATAAAAAAAATTATTCATATAATTTTTCGTTATTCAATTATTCATATTTTTATTTCAATTTTATTTAATTATACATATCGTACAATATTTTATCATTATATATGCTCATAGTAACGAAAATTGTAATATGACTTATAAGACATATAAAATTCGTCAAGCAAATAACATGTTGAATAAGTAAGTAATTTTGATTAAGCAAATAAACACGACGTCTCGTACTCTTAAGTGGGTAATCAGAAGATACTTTGGCAATCATTCTTCCGGAACCGGACGACTGGCCGACCAGCCTAAAACGAAAGTTCAAGAGCGGATACGCTGTGTCAAAGTTAAGCCTGGAACGTGGATTACGTATACTTGCGAAGACGTAGTTAACCCCACACTAGCACTGATATACTAATTGAATTAGTTATTTCGAAGCAGAAAGTTAAGGGCACGTCTGCGCCAAGTTTTCAACATGAAATAGCTGGCAGAATCGACGTGCTAGCACGCGGAGTTCGAAAGTTCTTATTAACCCGGAAGTTTCGTTCAGTATCGCGCCTGAGTGTTATTTAATTACTAATTCGAAGAATATGTGGCCTCGCGCGCTTTTATGAGGAACGAAGAGAACTTTTCCCCGATTAATTTCGACGCACTCCTCCCTCTCTCTCCCCCCTTCCCCGTTGTCCCCACCCCCACTTTCCCAGAGAGGGTCGGCATCGATTATTAATAACGGATCCCGGATTGCGCGATATGCGGGCTCGGAATTTCTGCGGGATCCATCCGACGCTCATGGAGGACTGTCCGTTTTAATTACTGTGATCGGTCCCTATCAATTTTTCGACCTTTATCTATTTATTTATTTATCTTCTCACGAGCACACCCGCGCGTGCTTTCGGCCCACGTTCTGCGAAATGCTGTTAACGCGAAATGCTGCTTAATGAGGAGATGAATAATTATAATCTCGCGTTAGCCATGGCGCGCACTTATCGAGGTCTAATTTGCGCATGATAACACTCGCGAAATGAATTAGAGGGATTAATAATTCATTTTATCGGAAGCCAAAATCCACTATACTACTCGAAGCTCTTCGATCTTTCCACTTCAGAGAAGTACGCCCAGTCTCCACTCTTTTATAGTAAACGCGAGAAGGGAGGAAAGGGCACCAATGGGCGATTAAAATATTTTATACATGTAAAGTATCCTATCTTCGGTACAGCAAATTTTAACGATAAGTTCTTTGATGAATAATGAGTCGATTTTTCTTTCCAATCGAGATACATATAATAAGAAGGAAGTTTCGTTCCCGATAGCGAGCATTTTGCTCATTAGATCGAAAAGTTGTGAAAAATAATCGTTGAAATAAAATTGACCTAAAATTAATCGAAAAGCAAAAATAATTATCCAGCGAAAAATGATCGATCGATCGATGTCGAATTGATGCTGATTCAACGTCGATCGATCAATCATTTCTGGCTGAAAAGGAAAGATTTTGCTGTTATTAATTTCATATAAACTTACTCTCTAATTCAATAAACATAATCCCGTGATTAAGTCGAACCTTAATAACTCTGTCAGATAGGACTTCATGACTCTCGTTGAAAGGATCAAGGATTTAACGTTCGTTGCAATGAAAATGGTACTTCCACGCATCGGTGGAAGAACGTATTAAATTTATAGACAGAGCTCCTGCGCGTGTATAAGCTCCGTTCAGTAAAATATTCGTAACATTCTAGAAATACAACGGATTGTACGTACGACGGATTGTACACGTACAGTGGATTGCACGTGGAGAGGAGTTAATGGCGTGCCGGGACTAGTGTTGGGTCATTCCACTAGCACGGATTGCATATAGGTTTACAGCGGTACGGGGGATGATGGGTCTCGCCACGTTACAGGAGATATAAGCCGCTTTATGTTCTCCTCTCGCATCTACAGCTGTAACGCTTGTCGCATGAGTTCGCTGCCGACTGACGACGCGCAGATACACGAATACCAGCCACGTGAATTAAAGCGGATGTCTTCCGCGATTCATTTTATTCACTAAGCCCTTCGATCCCTGTGCTAGCGCACACGAAAACGCTTGCATAATTCACTTGCCAAGGTTCCCTTAATTCTCCTCCACGACGTTTCTCCTCGTCACCTCTCGTTCCCTATTAGCACGCATCTATTTTTTACACAATCTGCAGGAAAGGAACTCTCGTGTCGAATATTTTATATTGAAAAGAACGACCGCTTTCCGAAGTAGCAGAAAATTTGAAATTAGAGTTGAGCTGGTTGTATTGCACGAAAAAGCAGCTTTGCAATTATTGTACGATTCTTTGATATGATTGTTTATACATTTAGATGTAGTGAAGAACTAGGGGCAAGGCCAATCGTATCAAAGAATTTTATAATAAGCAGTTACAAAACTGCTTTTTCTACTGAACGCAGCTATTAATTAGTACGGAGATCGAGAGTGGCAATAGAAGTGCCGCTGTACATTACGCGGTTACGATCTCCATTCACCTTTTGAAGATGATATTAAAATCTGTAACAAAGTTATTGATGTTGGGTCTATTTAATGTTGACTAAAAGGTAACTAATTAATTTCAAGGAACTAAAATAAGTCGTATAAAAAATGAATACTAAGTTTATTTTAATAATTCAAAGGATTAATTATGTAGAAAATTGGAATGAATTAATTTTTACGTATAATGTGGCTTATAGCATTTCCGGCCGTAGCAGGTTTAAACCGATCTGGTTTGGATTAATGACGTTGCATGCTCTACTATTGGTAGAACATGTAACGTCAACCAATAGTAGTGCATGTAACGTCATTAATCCAATCCAGGTCGGCTCAAACTCGCTACGAAAACGTTATTAAAATGTGATGAACAGAAGATATTATAGACGCAGGACTCAACAATGGATAATTACTTAGTTATGGTGTATCAAAAGTACTCTATGAGTACAAATTTGTACTATAGCTAAAAAATTATTAAGCCTTGTGTCTATAACATCTTTTGTTCACCACATTAGAAGCTATAATACATTATATGTGAAAATCGTGAAAATTGACTAATTTCATCTAATTTTTCAAAATGCAAAGTCTTTTGGAGATGTAACGTAAAGAATATAATTAAATAGATTCAATAAACTCATCTTCGAATGATTAACGAAACAGATTTCATTCAATAAATTGTTTCGCGAATCTATTATTCGCAGTAGGATTTCTTCCATAAATGGTTTATACGTTTCCACGAAAACTTTCAGATGTTAAATTTAATTACTCCATGGATATTTCAGTTATGTTGCGTCGCGTGATTTTCAACGCAATATGAAGAGTATATACGTTTATATGTGAGGTCAGTCTTAAATTTCTACGACAGGATCTTTACACGAGGCTCGCATGCCCAAAGTTTCGATGTGGTTCCCGTCGACGTGATGCTCGAACGATCGCGTGCTGATTGGACGGCATTTGCCGGGCTACTGTCGGTCCGCTTCTACTTGCAAGAGTACGGAATACACTGATTGCAGACTTGTAGCCCGGCGCCGCCGAGTTCTCCCCCGACCCTCTGATCCATGTTTGCTGTCTGCTCGTGAAAGTTATCATCTCTTGAATGAAGTTTGCACTTTTCCGCGCACGTAAGGAGATCATCACGATCTCGAAGGAAGAGGGGTGGCGAACGGAACGAGGGTTGTAATTTATGACGCCAAGAAATCGATGGTGACTCGACTGATTCGCTACTTATACTTTGACAGAATATTTTTAAATTTTTGTGTGTTGTCGATAAGGCGCACGCCAGAATGCAATTAAGCGGAGAAACCAAGCGACGATAGCAATCTCGTATTGTAACTTATATCTAAGGTATATATTGTTTTTATAGTTCTATTATTTCTGGGTAAAAAAAAAGTCTTATGAGGAATGAAGTTATATAGATTGATCGTAAATCAGCTCCATTATATTGACAATTTTATTACGTTTTTATAATATATATATATGTGATATCTGATGTACTTATCAAATATTTCTAGAAAAAAAAGGACAATTATTCTTTCACGAGAGATTTTTTGCTTTAAAAATTCACTTTACTTTTTTTAAATAGTAAAAATATCCTCATTATTCATATATTGGTGTTGCCAAAATGTAATATATACATACCAAACAATAGTTTTTATCTTAAGCAAGCATATTCAGTATTTTTAGATTTACAAAATCTTTCAACCCACGTGACAGAAGATATCACGTTTCAATATCGCGAACACTGTAGAATGCAGATATAAGAGAATTTAATTGAATATTGTCGCGACATCCAGAAGCCAATCTTTTCTCTATCTCTGCCATTTTGCATAGTAAGTCAGTAAATAACTGATCAGGAAAATCAACTAAAAAAATACTTATTAGTAATAACTACAAACATTTCAGATACATATATGTTGAACACAATACATACTTTTAATTACATATGAGTGAACTTCTGTTAATATATCTTGCAGCGCAAGTCCCTTGTTCAACTTCAGTTCTTGAATCTCTGCATAATAGATATTAAGGATTATATATAATTTGATATAAAAGCTAGTATTCATAACTGGTTCTTATATTTAAGACTATCTTAAGTTGTAATCCTAAAATATCATAAACCAATCACAATAATATTAGCATTTTAAAACATTATTTAAGATGATCCTAAAGTGTAAATACCAATCAAAAACTGCCTTATCTCTAAAATCTGTTGTAAAAGGATACTTTTGTAGCATGTGTCATAAGACTCGTTTAACAACCAGTTTACAATACTAGTTATGTCTCTTGGTAACGGATGCCCAACACAATTATACACATTCTCTTCATTCACAGCACCATAAGCAAACCATGTACTTTGAAGTACGCTTATTACTTTTCTCATATCACCACCACTTAACGTTATTAATGCTTGCTTGCCGTCTTCCGTAACTTTTAAACTAACAAAAGTTTTTCATTAACGAAAGATCTCAGGATAAAAAAGAATCAAGTAATTAGATATAAAATAAGTCTTCATTCACACACTTCTCTGCTTCAATGACATGATTCAGTCTTGGTATTATTTGTTCTGCTGCAAGAGGTAGAAATCTAAACCTGGTGCAACGAGACTGCAGAGCTGGAATAATCTTGCTGAGATAGTTGCATATAATACAGAAACGCACATTATCCGTGTATTTCTCAATAACTGAAATTAATATCAGATTAACATTTATTTTTGTTAATGTCTGTTCTAATTGAACTTTACAATCTATAAATATTCAGATAATGCACTTACTTCTTCTGAGTGCATTCTGAGCATCGATCGTCATAGCATCAGCTTCATCCAAAATAATTAATTTAAACGCAGATTTATACATAGTGCCTGTACTGGCAAAACTCAAGATTTGGCCTCGCACGATGCCTATACCTCTATCATCAGAAGCATTTAATTCTAATACCTAAACATATAAGTAAAGTAAGGAACATGAATGAAATCAAGAGACATGGAGTTATTCAGTGACAGATACACAACCATTGAATTGAACTGAGCTGGAGTATAGAGTTTACGAGCACACGCCAGTATAGTACTAGTCTTTCCTGTCCCAGGTGGTCCATAAAGAAGAAGATGCGGCAGTTGATTCTCATCAATGTACTTGTTTACTGTAATAAGCAATTCCTTTCTCATCTTATAATAAAACGCTTACACATATTTACACGTCCTGTTTACTTGCGTCGTTTACTTACTCGTCTTTATTATCGTCTCATGGGAAATAAGCTCATCCAAGCTTTTAGGACGATACTTTTCGACCCTGAAATACAAGAAAATTCTCAGTCGGTGTTCCTTGTTGTCGATGTCCCAAGTTTCGTACTCACCATGGTAAATTTACTTGTGCATTGCTGGACGTCATCGTGTCATAAAATCGTCGGCTCTCAATATCTCATTTGATTTTTTTTGGAGTAATATCCACCGGTTAGTGGAGACTTCTTCGGTCTCTAAGGTTATATCACGCTCGAACTGTTTGAATAATTTGGAGGTTATACTCTTGCCGCGCATTTCGCCGGTTACTTCGATCGTGCAGAATGGTGACGCAGTCACACTTTGTTGTGTGTTCCACAAACATGAAATTGTTCCAACACGAATTGATGCGCGTCTACTTATCGCATTCGTGTTCAAATTTGATCTCTCAACAGAATTGCATTAATTCACAAAAAAATTAATTGTTAGGTAACATTGGAAAGTATATTGTTTTCAAACTACGAAAGTTCTAACCCTTAACTGTGGATGTGGATTATTTGTCTCTGGGGCTCTTGTGTCACTCTTCTGTACAAACTCGATCAACATCTGTTTTTAAATCAAACTTTAACAGCAACAACGTCTACATTGTGGAGAGCAATTATTTTCATTTCCTTTTTTTTTATATCCAAAAGCGAAAGTTCTATCCACTGTGCAAATAAAAGCATATATATTAAATTTTTAGAGTGAATCTCACCCTGAAGCATGAAATGTCATTTTTAGGTCCGATTCTATCAATGTAAGATTAACTTTAATTTCGGTGTTCATTTTATATTTTTCTGATTCTAAAAATTAAAAAAAGAAAACCAATAAGTTAAGATTGAAGTTAATCTTATGTTGAAGGAACTGAATCTTAAAGATTGAAAATTAAGTCTTTGTTTCGAATTGGCTCAATTTTCACTCTTTAAAGTGAGATTTCTCCAAAGAATTTAGAAAGTAATTAAGTCTTAAGTTATTTTCCTTTTTATGTCAAAAGGAATTCTTATCCTATAATCAATGTGTAATAAAAACATATGTCCACAGTAAAGGGTTAAGCCTACTTGATAGTGTTTAATCACAAGTTTCACAGTTTTGCTCTTTTGATAGTGATGTGCGCCAATAACCTTGATGTAATAATAAATACAGCATATTTTGCATAAAATTTAATCTCGTGATAAATTCATTCACAATTGATTGAACAAACAAGTAATGAGGTTACTGAAAAACTGAGTAAATAAGATATAAACTAGGCCAAGCGACTTGATCTAAAAATATTTATTTTTGTTTGGGAACTACACAGGGATATGATCCACTCGTACAAGGAATAAGTATGGCCCATAGAATTCTCCAAAAGTATCCCAGAACGATGATCAATCGTTCCCGCGAGGTAGTACAAAAGTATGAATATCTTCTTGTGATGGACTTTGAGGCCACGTGCGAGAGGTATACGGTGCTCAAGCCGCAGGAGATTATCGAGCTACCATGCGCAGTGGTATCCACCTGCGATTGGAAATTAAAGGACATGTTTCATACATATGTGAAACCCAGAGTCCATCCTACTCTCACGCCATTCTGCACAGAATTAACTGGGATCATGCAAGAGACAGTGGATGATCAGCCTTACTTTGCGAACGTGTTTTCAAATTTCTGCGAGTGGTTGACTAAAGGAGGATACTTTGACAAACCTGAGAAAAGCTCGTTCGTCACATGCGGTAATTGGGATTTAAAAACTATGCTGCCGAGTCAGTGCGCTTTGGATGGTATTACGTTACCGGATCAGTTCAAGCAATGGGTAGAGTTGAAGTACATATTTTGCGAATCTACCGGATATTACCCTAAGAGTTTAAAGGACATGCTTGTGCGATTGAATGTTCCATTAAAGGGACGTTTACATTCAGGGATTGACGATGTAAAAAATATGGTATCGATAATATTAGTTTTAAAAGAGAAATACAATACGCAATTTAAAATTACTTCATCATTAACAACTTCTGCGATAAACTTAAGTAACAGATTGAGATAACTAGGAATGTATTGAAGAAAAACACGTGATAGTTTGTTAAAAATTATTAATAAAATATCGTTTTTTTTTGTAAAACTCTTAAATTACAATAATTATATAAATAAATATTATTTTTCTTGTATAACCGATTAATCATTATCGCTTCACTTTAATCAACACGTCCTGTTTATTATTTTCTGTATAAATCGCAAGTACAGCCTGCATATTACGATCTAGTTTCTGTGAACACTGTATCTTTAAAGGAAAGCTCTTTTTGCTAGGTAACATTCCTTCTGCAGGAACAACACTGAAATAATCTGAATTTGATAGACTGGTCTGAAATGGCTCGGCTGTTTTGAAAAAGCTAAGAATAGTCACGGTTGCTTCATTCTTTACTGGAGGAATCAGAGTGATGGTGGACGGAGTTACAGTGAATTGATCTCCTTGCAATTCAGGGTGTTGAACTTCATATTCTATAGTTCTGTGTAATAAAACATTAACAAGATATTTTAATAAGAAATTTTTAAGTTGACATAGTTATAAAAAATTGATAAGCGTAATGAGAAATATGCATACTAAAAGAAAAATAACAAAAGAAAAATAAAAAGCTCTCTTACTGAGAAGCGAAGAAACTTGCTCCACCCGCTTCATCTAAATGAGTAGTGTCGCTTATAAGAGACTGATACATCTCTGATTCATCAGTATCATATTGTACAGGCAAAGTATCATCTGCGCATGCTTCCACTGTGACCATTATCTCATATTGATGAACGCCAGTACATAGATCATTTAGGTTTAGCTATTTAAATACACGCTGTCATTATTACGTAAAACAGTAATGAGGCTAAATAATATAATTGTATATACTTACAATAGAATCGCGAATTAATGTTATGCCAGGAATTAGTTGCTCTCCAGGAAAAATTTTACATATAGGATGCACAATATTCTTGAATGCTTCATTTTCATTTCTAATCGATTCACCTGACTGTTTCAATTTATTATACAATCTGACAAAATGTACATGTTTACAGTTTAAAAATTAATGTCAATAAATGTCTATTTATCTGAATATGGCGTACGTTTTACCTGCGTATTCGCCAACGGGTTGGTTCATCGCCATAAATAACATTTATCGTTGCCACATGCGAAACTTCCGAACGTTGCAGTGACGCAAAGTCTTCTTTCTTTGGATGAAATTGTATTGTTATTTCTTGAGATTCTTTAGAATTAAGTATTATTTCTTTTGGATTTATATGCCAACTAGAATCCATTATTGGAGAAATAACTAAAATATATAAATACGTTTATCCTTACGTAACTCATATTAATATGTAATATATAAATAGGAGAGAATTAGTTTAGCCAAACCTTTAGGTATGATTGTGACTTTGGCGAATGAACGTAAGTCGCCAATGTTATCCAGTCTAATACTAGCGTTCAAAGTCATAGTTTCAGAATATAAATTGCCAAGTGACAACCACGATTTTTTACTCGAATCTTTAAATGGTCCCGAAATTTTTACTTTACTGCAACCTCCGTATCCATATAAAGGTATCTGTCAATTTAAATTATAAATATTCCCTCTCTTTCTTATTGAAAAGTAAGTTAAAAGTTTTGTATCATCATTAAATATACGCACTCTTTTAAACTGTTGAGAATCACTACTCTCTCTTGTATAATGTTTGATAGTAATTTTTCCAACTACTGAGCCTACGCTATAAGGACTGAATACAACTGCAAGTGTCTTAATTTCTTGACGTTGCATTACTAGTACCAGGCTTGTGTTGATAGTCTGTTTATCTCCAAGAAACTATAACAGATATTAGTATAAATTGTATAACTTTTTCTTCAAATAACACAACAAAATATATATGTATATGCAATACCTTAAAACTTTTACTGTCATCACATATCTCTATTTGAATTTTAATCTTGTTATTGCTCGTGTTGCGAATTGTAAATTCTTTAGTTTCACTTTTTCCCGTTTTTACACTATTCCATACTAGAGCAGCGTGTGTAGCTCTGATTGGAATTACATGTCCTGCTACAACTGAACTAGATACTGTACTGATTGGTGAATTTCTATCACAAGGTCCAGATCTATACATAAAAAGATGATGATAATAATAATAATACTGCGCGCGCGCGCGTGTGTGTATGCGTGTACTCATAAAAACCTACCTATTAGAAGTTACACTTTGTGGCGATGTTGCTGGACTTAGAGATACAACATTATTAGGCGTATGGCAACGTAAATAATTTTCTTTTTCTGATTCTAATAATCTTTGTTCAGTACTTATAATGTAGTGGTAAACATTGTTCCCGGCAACTAATTTAATTTTCGCATATCTGAAGAAATAACAATAAATAATTAAATAGTATGATAGACAAATAAATTTATAATTTACAAATTAATTATTACCTTTCATTATTTACAGAGTTTGCATCTGAAAATTGTGGATTATATACAATTAAGAATGAACTCCTTTCTGCCACTTGCAAAAATATATCATCTGGCTTTATAAAAAAATCTTGCATCGCGTTTGAATGTCCTTCAAATGGTACGATAGAAGCGAACACATGAATTGCGATATTTCCCGAGTTAATGATATTTATTGATTTTCCTTGCTGTCTTGGAACAACTATCGGTATTTCTGTGTCGACGATTTGGATTTTACAAAAACCTATTTGTGCGTAAAGAGGTATCTCTTTTTTAAGTAATATAATGTCATCCTTGGATTGTACATATACAATTAGTTTGCTTTTCCAATGTTGTGGCTGTCTCTGCGGAGAATCTATATAACAAAACTTTCTTACATCTCCAGTAGACCAATGTCTCTATACAAAGTATATAGCCAGGTAAGAGAAACTTACCTACTGATGTAGATCGCGATTTTTCACATTTTATATTAGTGATAAATTTCTTAAGTGGTTCAAGTAGAAAATGCGTTGGTCCATCAATGCTAAACATTTTTGAGCCCTCCTACGAGTTGAAAATATATAAGTTTTCAATATATTGATCTAATTACATTTTAATAGATTTGTGTCTCACTTCTAATATTGACAGTTTCACAGGTACAGCAACGTTGTTTTTATTATAAAATGTTATAGGCAGAATTTTGATTGTTTCCTCTCCGATGTATTGAAAATCTAAGTTTTGTTTGTCAGAAGGACATACAATATCAAGCTCAAGTTGCTCCGGATTAACAAAGATTATGTGTTTCATAGACCATTTTGATTTTGCTACCATATCTGATAAAAATATATTTAGTATTACAAATATTGGTTTACACATTTTTAGTACTTTTACTTCAATCTGAAAGAAATAGTCGAGTTATTATCGTTACAAGTAAAATTTATTTTCAGCTGATACTGAATTATACCTTTGTAGATTGGGTACTATTAGAATTTATTAAAATTTCTTTCGAAGGAATATTCAATTCAATACTTTGTGTATCTCCTACTACTTCAATCAATTTAAAGATATACGTGATCCATCTATCTCCATTATTTATGAGTTCAACATTTACTTCATTCGTCAAACCAACAACACAATTGCATGCTTCTTCTGTATTCTTGCCAAGAACAATATTCTCTAGAAAAAAGAAAAAATATTGTTATATCTATCATATCTATCACATATTTTAAGTTAATAATTAAGTAAACTATACTACTTGAATCAATTTGCATGTCCATATTGTTCACTAACAGCGATGAGCTCATATTATTAGAAATATTTTGTTCTTTATTTTGAATATTCAAATTTTTGTAGCTCTCTTCATCAAAACTTTTTTTGTTCATTTTAAATGATACATAGGACAATGCAGTCAATTTATCATTGCATGGTAGTGTGGAATTTTGTAAAGAAAATGTAAGATCTGATGATGACGATACACCTAGTTGTTAAAGTCATATGTCAAGATATTTATACATTAAAGTTTTAATTTGATCTTTTAAATTATAAAAAAAAAGTTGATTATAATATATACTCTAATTTCAAATATATCATGAATACAGATTGAAATGCTATTCGTGCAACAAAATCGTGCATAAAAAATGTAATCAAATGTAAATATCTCATAAAGATCTCAGATTTATATACCTATGTCTTGATTAATCGAAGATACTACGTTTTCATTACATGAATCCTCTAACATTTTCTTTTTAGATATATTCGTGAAGGATTCAGCCTTCATCACATTTTCATTTGGAGGAAATGACACACTTCTACGTTCCTGCTTTATATTAACAATTTCATTTATAGTTTCATTTTTGGTTTTACTATCTATTGATAATTTAGCTGAACGATTTTCTACATTATCATCAAACTTGTTTGAATTTCCAATAGACATTGCTAAAATAGACTTTTCATCGGAGTTTTCTTTTCTTGCGTTATTATACATTAGAGAATGGTTTTTTTTCTTCTGTGCCATTAAAAGCTGATCAACCAATCGCCGTGGTGTCTCGCTGTTAACGTCTTCTAAAGTATTAACAATAGTGCTTAAACTTATGATACTATTTTCATCTATGTCCCTTGTTATATTTGGAATAAGCACATGCTCTTTCTCTGTCAATTCCATTGATGATGTTGTTGCTACAATATAAATTTTAGTGTACACGAGGAAATTTTATTTTATTTTATTTTATTAACAATTGTGTAATTACCTTCTATCGAGACAGTCGATTCAACTAATACTGGTAATTTGCCTGTTTTTATAGGAGTTTCCAAAACCTTAAGGTTTGGTTTTGCTTTTCCATTTCCCAGCATTTCTATATCATCAGATTTACGTTCAAAATATCTGCCGACAGATACTTTCCGTCCAGCACAAGATCTATAATTTAGATATTAATTTATATTAACATGTATTTCATATAACATATCTTTATGTATAAGAAACAGACATACTCGATTGATAAGTCTAGCTCTCCAATAATACCAGAAAGAGTGCTAAAGTCTATTTTTTGCTTTTCTGTTTTCATGCCTGGCATACAATATGTGAAATTATGCGGAGCAAAGCAAGTCTGATCCATTGACAATTGTTCAGCCCCTTTTGAGTTAGATAGAAATTCTTCTGACATCATCTCATTATTAAGTGTCATTATGTCGTTTTTATTGAAACTAATGCCATGGAAAGATAGGTTTATAAGAGATTGTCTTTTAGCACTACTACTGACACCAGATGAACGTGCTGTTATTTCATTGGGTTCAAAAGTAACCTGGAATTATTTACTTTTTCTAAAATATTCTGATTTTGAAATATTTACAAGTCGTATTTACATCATACATAAAAACCTACACTAGTTATATACTAGCTTACTCACCGAGTGACTCATGTTGCACTCCTTGTCCAACTCGGACATACAAGCTTCAATTGGTAAAATAAAATTTGAAACTGGCATATTGCTCGTTATATTTTGCATATTAGCATTATTTTCTTTATTTGTGTCTAAAATTGTCATTCGAATTAATATTAAAATTAGAATTAATTTCTGTGTACAGATATTCTCGTACGTCCTTTTCTATTTTTATTTACCTGTGATTAAAACAGAATTCTTATCACTACATCTCTGTAGAAGTTTTCTGGCTATTTCAAGTTCCGCATCTATATTGGAAAAATTCAATTTCTGCTCGTCTTCCACTGTGCTTATGCTCGTAAGATCTGTCATTAATGTCATATATTAGTACAATTCTGCTAATACAATAATTGCTCATAAACAAATAAACAAAAATAGGACTCTTATTATCAAATCATAACAAATTATTACGTTAAAATAGACATGTAAAAGTCAGATGCAGATGTAGGAGCGCAAAACAAATAAAGAATTTAATCTTAGAATATCATTACAATATATACATTGAGATTTCCACTATTTGCAAAATAGATTTCCAAACTCACAAAATCAGATGTTTCAGCTGTATTTTGAAGTCCTCTTCAGATTACAATAAATGAAAATTCAAGAACATTTTAACAACCTTCATGTCGAATTATTCTTAGAACAATTAAAAAACTTCTTACAAGCAATTGGATGATTGCGTAAAGAGAATTTCTAAGATGTTTGAATTCTCGTTTATTATCCTGTAATCTGAAGAGGACTTGAAAATGCAGATGAAACATGTAATTTAAAAAATTTTGGATATCTATTTCATACTAGAGATCTTAATGTATATGTGTTCTAAGATTAAATTCTTTATTCATTTTACGTTCCTGCATCTGCATTTGACTCTTACATACTCTTCTAATGTTCATAAATTTCTCAAAATATTTCATTACCTGACATATTATCAAGAAGACCTAACGAGTTATCCTCTTTTTGTGTCGATTCATTGTCATATAACAGATCCTGCTTGCTCTTTTCCTCATTTAATTGCAGATTATCATTGAATTTGCTCTCCAATCTAGAACAAAATATCTTTGAGACCCATTTCCATAAATAATAGTGATAAAGTTGCTTTCCATTTACACCAAAACTCAGATAATTCTCACTTGTGAAATCATAACTCAATTGAATGCACGTTCTTTTTCATTCTGACAAGTGAAGAGATTCAACTGAAATTTTACCTACAATCTGTACACCTCATGAGACCGTGATTTACTGAACTTTATTAAATCACATTAAAAATGAGATGATAAATCTATGTTGTTACGTGATAACTTTATTAAAGTAATTGAATTAAGGCTGTGGTCAAAGTCTCGTTATAAATGCTTTGAAATGTTTAATGGACCAATTAGAAGAAAGAATTTTGCAAACTGATCAATTAAAAAATGCTTCAAAGCGTTTGTAGCATCGCATTGACCATACCCTAAGTGATGTCATTATATGAGTATAAAAAATACATAAATTTAATATCACTTATGTAAAAATGGAAAGCAACTGTTACCTAAAATCAACTACAATTCATGTGATTCTCTACATAATGAGTATTTGACGAAGAATCAAAGGAATACTAGGACAACAATTGGTTCGAATGATTGATGTGCAAAAGGGAAGTCTTGTAACGAAACGCCTGTTGATTTGCGGAGATGGAGGACTTTTTCAGAGAATACCTGAGATAACATACATGGCTTTTCTGCGAACAGTGGATGTCGCCTGCGGCAGTGGAGTGCTCAACACCGTGTCATTTAACACGCCAGAACTCTTAGGTTTGATAGGAGTAAACATCGTATAGATCCTTTGTTCCGATCGTGGCGATGGTCCAACGAACAATTCGAAGAACGGATCTATCACTTGTATCAGCAGTCCTTCATCGTTTCACAATCGCGTAAACTCTGCGAATCCGCTCAGATGCGATCACACATAACCCACATTTCCACTCAGGTTTTAAATAATAACAGTCAATCGATTTTACGTTCAAATTTGAAAAGTCTTGGAGGTCACCAACGATTGGATACGGATTTGAAGGCCGCGATGTTGTTTATTATCCTACCGACGCCATGTGTAATCGCCATCTGCTGGCGAACATCGTTGCGAAATTCGAAATTCGTCGGTAAGATCTCGGCCGGTCTTTACGTTGTTTTCGTAATTTCCTTTGAATTGCTTTGAATTATCTTCGCAATTTCGTATGTTTCACAAACAAATGAGACTCAAACCTCCGGACAGTTCGTGATTGCATTTGGCCTGAAAAAGCTGTAACGATTTTCTGAAAATTTTTCTTTGAAAAATTTAAGTTTTTATTGAGACCTCGCTGATAAGTTCTCGCTGTTTTCCAACAGATGGCGTTAATAGAACAATTAACAGAATTGCGTGCGTGCAGTTGAAGATGGGAACGCATCGATGAGGAACTACGGTAAGCAAGCTTGAAATTCGATGTGTCATCTCGCCGAAGTGTAAACAACTTTTTGTTTCATAGTGTTAAACATGTCGAGTTTCGTGCCAACAAAAGAGTATTTGCGGGCAATTTTACTGCACTACTTTATTCAAAAAAAATCTGCAGCTGAAGCACACAGAATGCTTGTTAAGACTTACGGCGACCATGCTCTGTCGGAAACAACATGCAGAGATTGGTTTAGACGCTTCAAAAATAATGATTTTGATTTTGAAGATAAAGAACGCTCTGGCGCACCGAAAAAGTTTGAAGACGAAGAATTGAAGACATTTCTGCATGAAGACTCATGTCAGATGCTAGCTGAACTTGCAGAATCATTAGGAGTTGATCACACAACAATTTCGAAACATTTGAAATTATTAAGAATGATTCAAAACCAAGGATATTAAGTACGAGAAGCCAAGAGACGTCGAACGGCCATCTTTCCACGTGTGAGCTACCACGAACAGAAAATGCTTCAATGGCAGAAAAGGAAAGGGTTTTTGCATCGTATCGTAACTGGCGATGAAAAGTGGATACACTACAATAATTCTAAGCGTAAAAGATCGTGGGGTAAGCCCGGCTATGCATCAACATCGTCGGCAAAGCCGAATATTCATGGTTCGAAGCTTCTGCTCTGCATTTGGTGGGTGTAGTTTATTATGAGCTGCTCAAACCGAATGGAACCATCATGAGAGCTCGCTATCGACTACAATTGATGCGTTTGAGCCGAGCATTGAAGGAAAAACCGCCACTATACGAGCAGAAATATGACAAAGTGATTTTGCAACATGACAACGCTCGATCATGTTGCACAACCTACTTGGAAACGCTTAAATGGGAAGTCCTACCCCACCCGCCGTCCTACCTCATTCATCAGACATTGCCCCTTTCGATTATCACCTGTTCCGATCGATGGCTGGCTGAGCAGCATTTCCATTTTTATGATGATGCCAAAAAATGGGTCGATTCTTGGATAGCCTCAAAAGACGTGTCGTTTTTCCGACGTGGAATTTAAATGCTGAGAAAGATGGGGAAAAAGTAGTGGCTAGCAATAGACAATACTTTCAATGATATGTTTTTTACGACTTTTTTTAAATAAAGCATTACTTTTCACGGAAAATCAACGAGAACTTATTCAAGGTCCCAATATTTTTGTTTTTTTTAGATGAGATTACATACATAATACATGTATATTTTATATGTATACATCGCATATATTATTTTCTTGATTTTTAATTATTCATTCTGTTCAAAATATGGAATAATAATATATTATGATCATCTATCTATTGTTAGTATTTTACATTTTATATATATATATATACATATATAATATAAAATAAATAATATAAAAATAAACATAAATATAATTTTAATATAAAATAATGGTTAAAATTATTTTTATTACGTTTTTAATATATACACTTAATTATAGAGTTGTAAAGCAGAAATTTTTATCCATTAACATAAAAATCGCTATAATAAAAAGCCATGTGATTTTAAAAAATCTTTAATAAAGGAAATGATTTTACATCGTATCTTATGTTACTTTTATCCAATTCTAATCTGATAATATAATTTGATAACATATCCGCAGACATCTCTTATAATTCTAATAAAATCACATTTATGCTTCAAAAATAAATAGTCGATAGAACCAAGTGTAAAAGTACGGCTATTATTCATACATACTATCTATAATAAAGTAATTATATGTAATAAATGTAATAGGCCATTTAGAGCTACTACATATATACTGGCATAACTTTGTTATATAGCCAATCAGGACAATTATTTGAAACATGCTCGCTTTCTCGCATTTTATGCACTCACATCTTTGTAATATGTATTACTTCATATCCACATAATCTTATATTTGTCATTAATAATATTATGGTTAAATTACAGATAATGATAAGAACACATTTTTTAATTGCATGTCTAATGCAATTAACTATCTATTATTAATCTTATAGAAAATACAGAATAACTTTCTTGTCATCAAACGATTCCATCTTTTGGCATGCAAATTTTTTAATTGACATTTCCATATTGCGATTCACGCTAAAATTTTATACTTGTTTTGTGAATCTTTGAGACGTAAAACATGTAAAACGATGAATCAATGATGCAAAGAATCAATGCAATGTATTACAAAAGTTAAACATAAAAATGCACTTGGACAAGATTGTTATACAATTTATTCGATTACATTTTTATAAATTTAATTGGATTTTGCGCAAACAACATTCACTTTTTCGTTATGTTGCATGACTTTGTAACTTGTAATATATAACTTTTCAAATTTAAAGAAAAAAACATTCTAAATATAATATAGGACGATAACAAGGAATCAACTTTACTTTTGGTTTATGTTCTGAACTATTGAAATACTAATAATTAATATAATACTTAATCTTATTATTATATTAAAAAGATGTAACACAAAGTTATTTTATTCATCATTTGAAATATTTCTAACAAAACATTGTAATTAATATAAACAAATTATCATTTTATTCTTGTAAACAACTTATTCTGCGTAAAGAAAAAATTATTCAACATTAGTCGACTTATTTATATTATAAATACATATGCATATATACACATACATGTACATATACATATATACGAAGTATGTTTAAAAAAATCACCAAATTTCTTTGTTACATGCTAATTTGAAGGAGCGTTAAGATCACGTTATTATTTCGTGCTGGTCTTTATTTCAAAAATAAATGTTCACCACATGCATTTGTAACATTCATAATGTTATAACTCATTATACACGCTTACAGTACTATTTGCTGCACAAAAAATTAAAGATAAAATACTGCATGCGATATTTATTTTTAAAATAAAGATTTTCTATCATATGACGACTTTGATACTCCTTCAAATCATTAGCACGTAAACAACAAATTTTGTTCTGTCTTTTTATAGATCTCATACGCACACACACATACACATACGAGCACATACGTACGCACACATACATAATTAAATAACTAATAAAGAAGTCATAATTGTAAAAACCATTATATTATAGGATCAAAAGTTAAATTAATACATTATTTATATTTGCTTAAAATGTAATAATAAAAAATATCTGAATTGAAAATGATAGTTACGGTCTGCGTTATTTGCTGCACAGTGTATTTGTACGCCAAACTTACTATTTATATAATGATTAACGAATTACAGTGAGATTCCTATCGAATTGCTCCTATCAATGTAATAAAAATTCAATTGATCCTAAATCCGCTGTATTCCTGTATCAAACAGTCGATACAAGATTTTTGTCTTAACGATAAGCTCAATCTGGACCTTGCTGTATTTCGTTAGTTCCTTAAATTTTTTTAGGATAAGCATAAAAACAGTACGATACAAATACATAATATTTAAAAATTGGGTCAGGAAAAATATTTAGGAAATTTTTATTTATTATTTTTTGCATCAAAAAACATCAATTAAATTATGATAGAGTAAGAGGATGGTTTGATAAAAGGGAACAAGTGTATATATATTTCTCGAATAAGATATAAGTGCAATAAATTCCTCAAAAAGTGATTGAACAATGTGGTCATGTATAGAAGTATTGAGAATTCGTATTTATTTTAGGCAAGCGCTTAAGTCAATTATAGCTTTGCTTAAAGAATTTTTTGTTTAGTCCCATTTAATTGGTCTGTGTGATAAAGACAAGTATCTTAAGAAATTGTTTTCAAATAAATGTTTTAATTAAACTTCTCAATTTTTGTTTTGTTTTCATGGTATCGCATATTAATATCGTATAATACGGTATACACGTTCTTTTCTTAAGAATTTGAAAGATTAGGAAATTTTATACTAATCTAGGTATATATATATATATATATATATAATGTTTCATTGTCGCGCAGTATTGCATGTATCATTACTGATGAAAAAACATAATTATTAATTTAAGAGATTTGCAATTGCAGGAAACATTGTTATAATATATAGTTGTTATTAAAATGATACAGCATCATCGAATAAGTTTTGATTAAAAAAGTGAAATACATATAAAGCATTAGCAGCTATTGAATGGAAGATTTAGAAAATCGGTGAAGAGAGAAAACTACTATTCGCAAATATTCTTAAAAATGGATAATCCATTTATGATGTTGACATAGATATTAATGATTATTTTTGATTAATCGCAAAACTTACCATCGATATTCCTTATATTTTTTAATTTCTATGACTTAGTAATATTATTTTACTTTCGGACAATTTGAGAGACGAAGATTTTTTTTTTATAATAGTACATGAAGTGAAATTTTAAGGACAAAGATTCATTTTATTTTTTACATTTTCATTTTCAAATGTAAATAATATTGTTATCAAAACTTTCTACAGATGATAATTTTAATAACATACAAGTATCTTTAACAATGGTATCTCCTGATCGTATTTACGCAAAGGCAGTTTAATAATATCTGTATTGAAAATATGTTTATTAATGTAACTTCCGTTGTTGTCTTTTGATTTATTTTATGCTCACGCACTATAAACCTATGTGTCGCAATTATGAATATTAAATAATAATTAAATAATGTACTTTGCTGACTAACTAACTTCAAAATGAATCGCATATGGCGCGCATATCGCTGTAACTTAATCTTAAAACGTTTATTTATTTGAACGTCATTATAACTAGAACAACAACGACGATGATTATGCTGATGATTATAGCATTATAAATGACGATGATAAAAGTAGTAATTACAACTTTATTGTTGCTTTTACTGTTATTAATTTTAATGTTTTTATTACTATTTTATTATTGTTATATTAGTATTATCGTTTTATTATTATTACTTATTCGAGGTTTGTCCATCAGGTCTATCCTATGATCCATTCGAATTCATAAGGGGGGCATGTGGGTAATACCCTGTGATAGAAAAATTCGCACCGTAGTTATCTCTTACATATCGCTGCTTAATGTTATTATTATTATCATTATTGTTATTACATTATTTAACAAATTTTTATCTTACATTGCATGCTATTTTTTCACGGAAAACTTAGTTTTTTATAACTGATGAAATATTAGAGAAGTGCTTTTTTCAAATTCATGAGTATATTCATTTTCTCTCTGAAGTCAAATTACAATAGCTTTTATTACTTCAAATTATTTTTTATTTGATTTAAAAAATATAACAAAATTCTTCTATCGGTTTTCATATATACACTTTCGATGTAAAATGTTTATAATTATAAATATAAGTGAAAAAATGTTAAAAGCTTTAAATATTATTTATTTAGTATAAATAATATCTATCGCGATTTGCTGATCAATGGCTTGCAATTAATGTTATCCTGCCGCGAATATTTTTCGAAAAATTGAAATCTTTCTCATCTATGAGCAAATCTTGTTCGATTTATATCTTTCTTTTAATCTGGATCTAGGTAGATCTTTTAATGTGTAGATCTAGATAACGGCGGGTGCCTTCTACCAGTCTTTTTTCCTTCTCCATTCTAAGTATTTTAATTATTAAAAAATCATATTGAACCCTGCATATATTACTCTATTTTTCTTTTTCCTTTTTTTTCTCTCTTTCTCCTTTTCTCTTTCTCTCTCTCCCTTCTTACCTTATAATAAATTATCAAATGTAATTTGAGCTATGGTTATACAAGTTTTCAGAATATCGCACTTCAAATAATTCTCGTATATATGGCACAAATAAATGTAATGATTACTTTGGCTATTTTATTTCTTCCACGCAAGTATATAAAGTGCGAGGAATGTAATATAGTTATAAATATATTTTAATATGTGGGACATATTTGAAAAGTAGATTTAACAAAAAAAAAAATAAAGATAAAAAATTTAATAATTAATTTATAGAAAAATTAGAATGATGTAGATTAACCAAAGTAAATAATATAATTATACTGAATGCGTATCTAATATTTTCTTAATTGAGTTTTTATACTTGAAATATTTTTTTAATTGAAACTAGTGTTTCGATCTTTACCAAAGTTCTTTTCAATCAATCATCAAAGATAAAGATTAAGTGAAATATTTCAAGACATCTTCAATTACATCTTGAGAACAAAATAAAATAGATAATTCATATTAATTTTTTGCTATTTGTCTATGTTAAATCTACCCATAAAATATGTCCTACGTATATGTATATATTTTTTCTCATTTCTTTTCTTTTCTTTTTTATCTTTATCTCTCTTTCTCTCTCTCTTTCTCACACACACCCACACACACACTCACTCACTCACTCACTCACTCACTCACTCACTCATTCCCTCACTTACTCCATCTCTCCGTTCTTTATTTATTAGATTATACGAGACTAATGTCTCGATATTCAATATTATACCTATAACATAAATTTGCAACATCTCAATTAACAATCAAAATCTTCCAACTACTTTCGATTTGTTTAGCATATGCAAGAACATATCACAATACTTGTGATATCACAATCATATCGATATTAACCAATTCACGTGATTCAAGTATAAATTGATTTATCATTCTCATAACACTATTTAAAATCATGAAAAATATAATTACAATATTCACTTGCTCACATTTACAATCGATAAAAATGTCTTTAATATTGACAATTTTAAAAATCAGTAATCGATCGTCGCTGATGTTACTGCTGATAATTTAAGGAAAGACTGTTGTGATGATTTAATCACTGCATGGACGGCCCTGTTTTTTCTACAGCATACTAAACCCGCCACAGGCTAGATCTACGTGCTGATGTTGATCCTACAATAAACAGAAATTTTATCAGTATAACTTAAGAATGACATTCAGCTGTTGTCATGATTGGTGTCGTGATGATTTGTTACGGGTAGAATAAAAATTTGTTTAAATTCTGTTAATGTTTGTCATTATAAAAAAAAGGTAGGTGAGAAGGATGCAGTTTACACTATATGGGATGCATTAAAAAATCTAATAATTATATACACAACGTAAAAATGTTGTGTATAATATTCTCAATTTAAACATCTCTGAATAAGAAACAAAAAAGTTCCCTGAGAAAAAAGCCGAAATATTTAATCTTTTATAAACTATATCAATCTATAATATATCAATCTATAATTAATATATCTATAATTAATATTATATTTAAAAAATTGATTCTATAGAAAGTTTTCAATATGCTTAACAAGCACATATTATATGATAAATTAATTTACTTCATGATACTTTTTAAATTAAAATTTCGAAATTATTTAAAATTAAAAGAATGTCGTAATAACTAAAATAAAGCTCATAAAGTAATAAGTTAATTAAATTAAAATTTAATTGTATTGTATATTTAATTTTTATTCCAATACTGTTGTAAATAAGCTGATGTACAAGTATTTTATGTTAAATAAAATTAATATTATTTGTTTATATATCGATTACAATTGACTTTCATTTAGTAAAAATTTTTATTCAATATAATTGCACAATTTTTTGTCCGAAATGCAACTATTTTCTCAGAAAATAAAAATGAACAATACGAAAAATACGTATATTTTTGGAAAACATATTTGTACCCGCTTGTGTTACGACATCCTCCTTTATCTATGGTTGTACCGACCAGCATGTGAAACAGCCACCATCTCTATGGGTAGAGATCCTCGTCGTTTGACAAATGCTTCGGGAACAGGATCGCGCTTTCCTATGTCTCTCTTCCATTTGAGCCATGTACCATTGTCGTTTCCATCGGTAGATCCACAGGTGAACATTTCTGGGCCACCACTACTACGTCTTCTTAAAATTTTTTTCCGGTTTCGCGGTTTACTATTTACATTATTCCTACTAAATAGATCGCGACGTAATTCGGATATGTCTGCTGGTATTGATCCTCGTCTTGGAGAAAGCATTCCGGACATGGTACTATCACATTTACTAATGCCGTTATTGTTGCTGCGGTTACTGTTATTGTTGTTATTATTATTGTTGTTTATTGAAATGCTTTCACGCTCGCCTGAAATAATTTCATGTAAAATTGCATTTCTGTGTTATATCATACCATTAAAATATACTTACGAGTTAAAGTGAGGACATTTTCTAAAAGATTTCCTAATGCAGTCTCTTGCGGAAGACTAGATCTTCGTAGATCCGAAAAATTGTCTCCTCGATATCCTAGAGTTAACCGGTTACAACTTCCACCTAATGTGTATTCACAATGTAAGGCCCGGTTGCACCAACGTTACTTTGATTTTAAGCGAATTTTAAAATTCTCTCTATCTCGTTTTAAAATCGAAAAGAGACAGGGACAAAGAATTTTAAGCCTCATTTAAAATTAAAATAACCCGTTGGTGCAACCGGGCCTAAGTGATGCAAATTATACTTCTAAATAAAAATTATAAATTTAAGTTTATTATTTTTTAAATAAAAATTTGTTAAATTAAAAAATAACTGAAATTAATTACTTTTGCTTTATTTAGTAATAATGTTTATTTTTTTATCGTTATTTTTCAGTATTATATTATCTTTAAAATATTTTTATGAATATATTAATAAAGCATATATATATAGCATAATATATTACTAACAATAAATTTTTCTATTTAACACATTCGTTACCGCGTTATAAATAATAAAAATTTAGTAATAAATCTAAAGTTTATTATATAGCATTATATAGCATCCAGTATTGCTAATCCAAAATATTTATTCAATATATGTAATTAAAATTCAAATCATGTATGTAATTTATCTGTTATGTACAAGATGTTTTTATACATTATGTTATATAAATTATTCGATAAAGTTAATTTTATTTGTTTAAGAATATAAATATATATATTATATACTTTGATTTATAAGAGATTAATCAAAATGTTGAAAGTATTAGTCAAAAATATGAGGTAAATTGATTCGTTTTTTTTTTCGGAAATGTAAACTGATAAAATTCTATTAGTTTAAAATTCTATTAGTGATAAAATTTATAATTATAATTTATGTTTACAATCTCTCTCTCTCTCTCTCTCTCTCTCTATATATATATATATATATATATATATATATATACATATATATTTTTTAAATCTAATAAGTGTATAAATAGAAGAATTAGAATATATGCTCTAATACCTTGATGTTTAGTAATATCAGTTGGTACTGATCCACGTCTGCAATTATGATCAACTCTGGTAGATATATTCGTTGAAGTAAAATCGTCCAATTTTGATAGAAGACCAACTGGAGCTGATCCGCGTCTTTTTGCCCATCCCTGAATTCAATATTGATAACAATATATGCAACTAGAAAATTTAAAGAGAAAGTAAAAAGAAATTTGATTATTACAGATTATATTAACAAAAAATGTGTGTGTGTGTGTGTGTGTGTGTGTGTGTGTGTGTGTGTGGAGGGGGGGGGAGCGAGCAAGAGGTATAAGTAAAAGATAAAAAAACGGCGAGAAAAAGAATGGCAGGGATAGAAAATAATGCAGGTGTAGAAAATACAAAAGATGAGATTTGCGAATAACCAAAAAAGATTTGATTTCAAAGTTTGGTGTAATCAATAATAAAGTTATAGAACAGAAGTAGAGAAAGAGACAGAGAGAGAGAGAGAGAGAGAGAGAGAGAGAGAGAGAGAAAAGAAGAAGTAAAAAGATTACAGAAAAATATCTGAGATAGATACTGGGGATAGAATAAAAACAGGATATGTGACGAGACAAGAATTACAAAGAAACAAAGTAAAAAAAAGAATAGTATATAGGAATATGAAAAAAGATTGGAAGAAAAAAAGAGTAACATCAGAGAGTGTTGACAAAAAATTAAAGAGAACAAGGAAAGATTACGGAAATAAGAAAAGGAAAGATTGTTTTAGAGAGATGAGATGGAAACACTTGAATGGAGGAGGAAGAGTGGGATACTGAATAAACAATTAAATAATCGCAAAGAAAAAAGATGTAAAAAAACAACAAGAAGTCTAAGGAGTTCTAGATATAACAGATAGTATAAACAGTTAAAGAGAATGAGGAAGTATCAAGATATTAAAAAAGAGCTGAAAGGAAAGCCATATTTATCTAGATGATGAAATGAGAACAGATAGTACTGAGAAATGTAAGTATAAAATGGGTAGGGAAACATGAAAATTAACATGTGCAAGAAAAATGTAAAAGATAATAGACAGAGGAAACATGGCAGGAAATATCAGATATTCTCTGGGGAAGATGAAGGAAGAAAGTCAGTGGTTTAAATAACTATATAGAGATTAAAGAGAAATGTATTATGAAAAAGAAAAATAAAAGTGAGGAAAGCAGAAAAAACAAAAATAGGTGAAAAAGAGAAAAAAGGAGAAAGAAAGATAGTAAATAGTAAAAATGTAGAAATAATTTTTCTTTAATTTTTTAACATAATATATAAGAGAATTTTTTTATATTTTAAAAGTAAAATAAAATCTCATTGTTTATACATTTTAATGTGTTAAAAAATGTAAATTTTTATAAGAAATATTGAAAGAATTTTTTATTACATTTCTAAGGATTGAAATAAACTGTAATAGTAATTATATAGGATTAATATTTCAAAATAAAAATTTCCTATTGTTTGTTGTAATTATATTGGATTATGATATTGGAAGTAAAAAGTGTGTTCTCCACGTTATACATAAAAAGTAACTTTGTGCCTCCTTATTTCGTAGATAGCTGTAAACTTGATAAATAGACCAAAATTTACTAAATTTATTTTTGAAATAAAAGTTGTAGAACATAATAGAATAAATATACAAAAGATGAAATTGAATATACAAGAGCACAATTAAACTCTGTATTCGCAAACACGAAGTATAAAAATATTAAAATAAGTGCAAAAGAATTTCATTCAACAAATTCACTTTCACATATAATATTAGAAAAAGTAATATCTTTTATATATTCACGTTATGATCCAATATAATTATAGTAAAAAAATTAGCCTTAGAAATCATTACTAGATTACCTGATTGCCTCTACGAGATGATGCTTTAGCGACGTCGTCATTCGTTCGGGGATCAACATTTTCCTTCATTTGCGCATCGGAATTGAACTTTGAACTCTTCGAATTTTTTTCTTTCACATTATCCAATTCCTTTCTATTGCCAATGATAACACTAGCTTCCTTACTCGAATCATCGATACTTCTTTTTGGCTCACTACCACTGTCACTCGATGAAGATACACTATGATTAGGAGGCGAATCAGGAGGACTACCGATAAAGAACACTTTGTGAGTGCTAAGCTCAGAAGACACGGGTATCGTGGTATATCGTCTACCTGCATGATCGACCGTTATCGTTTTACATTCTGTGACAGAAGTTGAATATCTTCGCGGTTCTTGTGCAGAATATGCGCTCAAAGTCGATGAAGTAGATTGATCTAATTTTTTGGGCAACAACGTAGTTTGCAGTTCTTGAACTGTTAATTTCGCATCATGACATTTAAATTCGGTGTTGCAATCTAAATTCGACTTACATTCCGCAATGTACATGTCAGGAACACATTTGTTTTTGTCACTGTAAGAACCCGTTAACGCAGCATAGAACATTTGCGTGGAATCTGGATCTTGAGCGGAAGAAGGCCTTTTATATCTATGTTTAGAAAAAGAATCATCAGTGCGAACAGTCTGTATAGAATGGCGACGCATGGAATTGACAGTATGTTTCTGTTTTGTTGTATCCAACAAGGTCGAGCCTTGTTTTTTGACAGATATATCCGTCGGTAATTCTTTAGAAAGAGGACTTATGCTGGATTTCTTTTGATGACGTGAATTAGGATCGTGTGAACAGTACCGACCGCTTGGACATGATTTTTCTTTCGTATGAGTCGAGCAACTAAAGGAATTGTCAGTTTCCAGCAATGTCTGAATGTAACATTGTGACATTTCCGCAGTCGCAGACATATACCTCATTCTTGTACTTGGTTGCAACGGAGGGAAAGTCTGTTGTCGTATAAGTTGTTTAGTTTGCGCGTTGTACTGATTATTCGATTGCAGAACTGTATTTAATCTCGATGCTTCGGTGCTGCTCGTAATACTGGCTATACTTGTCTCTGGTAAGAGATTCTCTGCGCTAACTGGTCTCTCGACAACACTAACATTTGACTCGCTCATATTACTTTTGGAAGACAATAGAGACAATGAACTCGGCCCCAATAAATTTTGATCTTCTATCTTCCAGAATTGATTTTTCGCTTTGGCTTGTTCGATCGGCATACTTTCTCTTCTATTGGGCTGGGTTAAAGGTAAGTACAATGATTTCGATACACTTAAAGGAACGGAATGACGTCTACCAACGCGATCGAGTCCAACTCGTCCTGGCAATGTCGGCATTCGCGCTGTTTGCACATAAGTTGCTGGTATCAGCAGATCAATACTGCCCGAATCTTCATCAGCGGCCGTTTCTTCGCCCGAACTAATGACTCCTTCAGGTTCATTAAATTCAGAAATGTCGGTTTCTTTTTCTTCAGTTATCTCTTGGTTAATCAGTGATTCCCATTTTTTCTGATTCATCTTTAAATATTCCATTAATGACACACTCAAACCATCACCGAGAAAACGATGCCATTCTACGTAGAGAGGCGTAACGACGTGTTTGAAAAAACCAGCTTGGATTTTTGGGATGCTAGTGGTATGTCGATCACATAATGGCGTTACTGGAAGATTTAAACGACGCTCGTAATCGCCCTGTCTGAAAAACTCTTCGCAAACCTTGTAAGACCATTTCCTAGATATATCCCACGGTCTGCACGGATTGGAAATATCTGCGCATTTTAGAGCAATTTGTAGGATGAAATGACGATCTTCCTCGCGTTTCATTTCAAGTGAATTGTTGCTCAAATAATCCTGCAATAAAATAAACAAAAAGAAATAAAAAAAAACACGTCATGATTAATTTAGATAATTAAAAGGAAAAAAAATATAAGGAGATGTACCCTAAAACGCGTAAGAAATTCTTGTTGTCTTGTAATATCTGTTGCTAAGATCAATGAACTGATATGCCGTTGAAGTTCTGGTCTTACGTCGGCTGGTAATTGTGCCGAGACACCGCTTTCTAGAAGACATCCTATAGCTGATCTCCAGTGATGATTTTCGAGAACAGAAGTATTCTGAAAGTTGTTAACCTTCGATTATAGATAGATATTGCTTAACTTATAAGTTATTTATAAATAATAATTGTCAGAAAAGAAATAAAAAATACATATAACAAGATGATTTATAAAGTAAACAATAATACTTAAGAAAGTTTAGAGCATTTAAAAAAGAATGTCATATAATTTTATTTTTTGAACAATAAATTGAAAAAAAAATATTTACGATAAAATATTTTTGTTTACCATTAATTTACGACAGATATGTTTTTTGATTGAATATTTACAAATAATCTCGCTATATAAAATAAAATATCAATTTATAATTCATCAAGTTAACAATACTTTTAAAGTGACATGATTCAAGAGATGTGCGATTTGATTCTCCTTAAAATATATTGTTAAATATAACTATTTAATATGTATTTTACATGGGTCACACGCAATTTCAACTTTTATTTTATTTATCAATGAAATGGGATTTGAAAAAGATGAAATAATACATCACAATATATATGTATAAATGGAAAGCAACTCAAATAATAATTTACAATTTAGATAGATATCAATGAGTTTTCAGTTAAGATATAGACAAATTGCAGCATTTAGCTTTCTAGTTACTATTTTATTCCAATATGTCTGAATAAAATTATATTTTTATATATAATTTTTTACAAAATCTTTCTAGAGTTTAAGGTATATAAGTTAAAAAATATGTGTTTTGACGAGTAGATTGTATTTGTAACGATATTTTATCTTATAATTTTGTTACAGTAAAATATGATATTAATTCTAAACAATATTGTGAGGCATGCTCATACGTGCTTTTTTATCTTGTACACCTTAACTTATATGTATAGCACGAGTAATAATTATGACATTTATGACATTCCCACTTCGAAAGTTTCATCATCATTCGAAATATTTCTGTATGATCGCTAATTGCAATATAAATTCATATAATATTTACAATAATAATCTAATATAAATAAAGAAATTAAATTAATTATTCTTATAATTATACCTCTAATATTATATCATATCAAATAACTAATACATCTTCTCAACTTGATGAATTCGATATGATAAATTATTTAAGAAATATAATGACAGAAATTCTCCAAAAAGTATGAGAAATTTACTTAAAAAATAATCATCTATTTTCTAAATATTATTATAATTATTTATAATCATTATTATTAAATTTATATTAATATAATTTATATTTTGCAATCACATCTGTTTTGATGTTGTAATCATATTTTACATGATAATATATGAGAGCAATCGACTGGTAGTCAACAGGTCGCGGATTTGAATCCAACTCTCATCCCATATAGATGTATCTCGATTTTCAATCTGGATTTTTTCCATCCATATTTTACAAAATTTGGCATTTTCCTCGAAATAAATTTGTCGAGGTATATGCAGTTTTGTCAAAGTTAAATATAAAAATGTCCAGTTTGATATGACAAATCGAGTATACAAAAATATATTGCGTAGTTTTAGAATTAAAATTTTCGATACCAACTATAAAGTGATGCAAATAAAAATGTATAGTTCTATTTAACAAAATAATGTTGAAGTTGAAATCTTTTAAACAAATGATCTCAAAAAAATTTTTTTCTTTTCTTATCTTCTTAATTGCTCCCTCGAAAAGTATAACTTTTTTTTCAAATAGTTTTTATTATCAAAACTAAGAGAAATATTTAAAGTGGTAGTCAAGACATATGAAATTATAATAAAAAAAATTTTTGTATCAATTGATTTAAAAAATACAATTTACACATTTGTTAAATTTATTATTTTCTTAGACATTAAAAGTTAACATTAAAAGTTAATAATTTTAATGTGCCAAAAAATATCAAATTTATATGTTATATCTTCCTGTATGTTGATCAAATATTAAAAAATTATATGTGAAAATTATCAAACTTATACGTATATTCGTGATCTATTCTGCAATATTAACGTTTCTTTTGTAAATTTGTATGATTGAATAATTTTGAATGAAAATTATTTTATTACCGCACATCACTCTCAGATTTTCAATTCTATAATGAACAATTTAACAAAGATGCTCCTACCTGATAAAGCGCAGCTAAATGATTACTCGTTGCGACCAAAAACGGTTGATTAACACCCGGATGATCTAAGTCATGCGTTACAGCCGCTATCAAGGAAGCCATAATTTCTAAATTGGTTAGATGTGTTTTAATCTGCAAATTTATAACTCGGTCATTCCCACTGAAGAATTGAGATATTACATGCTGTTTACATTAAAAAATATTCTACATTTATCTATAAAGTGCAAAATAAACATAAAAAAATACCTTTTTTTCTTGGAGAAAGCAATGCATTGCCTGAGTGACATCCGTCGCATGTATACTGTTGTGGTAAGGATTTGTACTGTGATAACCCTCCTCGATAAAAGCTTCAATTAAATAATTAACATAAATTATTTGACCACGATATTCAAATTCACTTTTTCAAAAATTTTTATTTATTTTTACTTTCTTATTTTTATTCTATCTTCTTTTTTTACATAATAAAAATGATACAAATCTCTCTTAACTTTCCCCTCTCTCCCTCTCTCAGAAAAAATATGATTAGATAAATGATATTTCTATGTGTTCATTACTGCTTTGTTCATTATAATTAATATAGACTAAATAATAATCAGCTTGTTTATATTCGCGGAATTTTAAACAGTTAGAAGTGCATTCTTACCAAATAATTTCCATACTGTTACAACATCCAAACTGAAGTATTGAAAAAGACCATAACAATGGAAGAGGTGGACACATAATACCGGCAGCGAACGACCTAAAAATTAAACACAGCATTACGTGTGACGATTACCTAATTATAAATTAATGATTATGTTGTAATTTTTTAGTGAATCTGTGTTTATTCAAATTAAATCTGTTAATACTTTAATAATTTAAATATTTTATGTGTAACTTTTTAAATATAAAATCCTTTTTTCAAATATATACATTTGGATAATCTGAAGATTTAATGCTTATTTAATAATAATGTCATATTAAATTATTTTTAAATATTAAAATTATTCAATTATCTGAAGTATAGAATATTGAATTCTTTTCGCTTTTGTATTCTTTTGTTTAAATATTTAAATATTAAAAATTATTAAAATTTTTTTAAATGCAGATTTTTAAAGTATCATTTAGAATTAATTAATGCGATAAACCAAGTTTAATTTTCTCTTATAGACGAATATTGGAGATTATTTCGCGTAACAATAAATTTTTCATTCCAAACATAGTCCAATTGATAAAATTAGGATAATGAAAGATTTTAATACATATTATTTATTTTTAATAGAAGATTATAATTATGCTTCAAAATAAAATAATTTTTTCTAAACAAAAACTTATTTAATTATTTTTCATATCTTTTACAATAAGATCAAATTTTAACATGTTCTGCGCTATTTTTGTGTGACTTTGTTCAGACTAGTAGACAGTCTATTAACATAAACCATATTGACATATTTATCATTATGTGCTTTTATTGTAAAAATTTTTAAACCAATCCAAATACGTATAAAAAAATAAAAATTCCTATTGTAGCATTTTTACAAATTATATATCATTATTAAATTTATTCAATTAGATATCATCACATAATTTTTATTTGCCTAAAAAGTTATAACGTAGTGATAATAAAATTATTTTGTAAAAATTTACAATATTAAAATAAAATTGTAAAAAGTATATTTTTATAATTTAAAATTGGTTGTTTTATTGTAAAAATAATATTGTAAAAATTTATATACATGATTTTCATTATACTTACCACCTGTGACTGTTTCCAGCGTGAAAGCATTAAAGCGCCAGTTTCCAGCTCTTTGCAACACGCACTGTAACATATATAATCCAAACATGATGGTACTCATAATGGAGTATTGTTAGAAGGAATAAAAATATAAACTTAGCGCGCGCATGAAAATATAGTGAGAAAAGAATGTCATTTTATTCTTATATAAAATCGAAATTAATAAGTAAAGATTTTTTTAATTTTTATTATTTGTAACATATTATAGGCTATTCTTCATCATATTCTTTCTAGATTATAAAATTTTTTATTTGTTTCTATATACATTGTTTTTCGAAAGTGTTGCATTATATACATATAATTTATAAATTATAATTAAAAATAAAAAGCTTCGTTTTAGATATTAGAAAAATAAAATCATAGATATAGTTTAACAAATTTCTTTTTATAATTAAAAAAAATTTTACTTCAAGAATTTTAATTTTAAATCTGATTATAATATAAAGTATTGCTCAAAATTTGAAAATTGATACAAATTTAGATAAAAAATCCGTAGCAAAAAATAAATATTTTTAATATATTATTATTTTCCGTCAAAATAAAGCAATTTTTCCAAAAAATTATTTAATCTTTTACAATAAGATTAAAACCTCAACACGTTCTGTGCTGCGCTATTTTTGCGTGACTTTCCATTCAGATCGCGTGTATCAGCAGTGGCCCATGTTGGCGCATTTATTATATGTGCTAAAAACGTATGTTTTATAATAACTTTAAGGTTTAAAAATATATTATTACATATTAAAATAAAGGCAACATACAAAATACAATAATTAATAATTTTAAAAAACATAGAGTATTATTAAAAAAACAAATGTGTGGAAATATGTAAAATATTAAATATAGTTAAATATAAAACACACACACACACACACACATACACATACACATAAGTTATATACTTTTAAATGAATAACATAATTAAAACAACATATTAATATTAAATATAATATGAAATATTTTATGATATATAATATATCTGCTTATATGTATTTGAAATATTATAAAAAACCTGAATGACAAGTTCTATATGATTCTTCTGATCTAACCGTGTCGCTAACATGAAATGTGTTAAGGATAAAATTTATACGCATTCAAATGCATTTAAATTTGTCTGCACACATCTGGTTTTGCAATTTTCAAATAATCACTGATTACCATCGTATAACGTTTTCGAAACAAGCATGTCATCCACTTATTATCACCATAATATTTATTCACAAAAATCAATGCAGAAGTTAATATGAGGGCGTTCAAATTTAAATTTAATTTGCATGTCCAAATAACGAGGCATGCTTGAATGCGGTTCGAATCATTTAATATTCTGAAATGTGTATTTTCTTGAAAAAATTGGCAGATGTACTAATGTAAAATTCGATAGAAGCGAAATATGAGCAAAGAAGTTCATCCAAACGAAGAACAACGCATAATAATTAAATTTCTTACCAAGGACGGAATAAAATATGATCTCGGAAATATGCACAAGGATAGAAAAAGCATAATATAGCAAGAAAACGTTGTCAGATATAAGCATTTATAAATGGAGTAAGGCTTTAAAGAAGGGCGACAACGCGTCGAGAACGAACCGCATCTCTGGCGCCGAAGAATATCGATAACGGCAGAGAATGCTGACCGAATTGATGAAGTTATTTGTGCTGATCGGCATTATAGTATAGAATATTGTCTCGATTTTGAATATATATGCACGTCTATTTTCGAGGATTTTGTTCCTTTCTTGATAAAAAATTTTATATTATGCATTGTTCCACGCTAGGATGAACTTCTCTCATCATATCTATCACTTCTGAATTTCGCGCTGACAAATCTATCAATTTTCTAAAAAAAGGACACATATATAGATTTCCAATCTATCTACTTATATATTTATCTGGCATAATAGGGCAATAAGTCTAATTGCACTTTCAAAAAAAAATTCTATATTAGATATATACAGGGTGGGCCATCTATTGGTACGTTTTTAAAAATGCGATCAAATGAGCATACATTGATATTTTTTATTAATTTTTTTTTTGTTGTGAAGCTAAAAGTATCCGCGTCAAGAATGAAAAACGATTTCGTTCATGTGGCTCCCTCTACTGGCCTTACAGTATGCCATTCGGTCACCCCAATTATTAATGACATTTTGGACTACCTCGGCGCCAATTTCACTCAAAACAGTCGTAATATAATGTCATCCACTAACATCCCTTTCTCACGAACTTTCCTCACCAATTTGCGTATAGCTCCTTCGGTGGGTGCTCTATCACGACCCATATTTCTTTTCAAAATTCGTACAGTTTCGGCGACACAGCACTGACTTTGAAAATAAGTTTTTAAAATTTCAAAACGCTCTTCAAGAGAAAACATGTTGTTTCGTGCCGCGGACGGTATGACTAATAAACTGTCAAAATTTCGGGTCTGTAGCTCGTTCGGTGTTGCCATACGACGAAATTCAAAAACGTACCAATAGATGGCCCACCCTGTATTATTATTTTAAGGATGTCGCATTAATTGTAGCTGCTAGGCTTGAAATTGGTATATGTAAAAAATTGGGAGAAATCTGGGAAACATGCTATTTCTCTCATTTTTCTGATAATAATAAAACAAGATGTATCCTATAAAGGGCGTTGGCGTGAAATAAAATTTTCTATTCATATTCATGTGCACTATGTATGAAACAAAAAAGCATTCGTTAGACTTAAATCTCGACTGAAATCTTAAAAGTTAAATAAATAGAAAATATTGCTGTACGATATATTGATGAAAATGGTTTTAATTTTTTATGAGTATTGTAATTATTTTAAAAGTTTTAATTTTTTATATATAAATTACCTGTACCAGTCCGTGAAAGATATCGTCCAAGATACCTGGTTCCTGATTCAAGGATCTGGTAGTAAGCTTCTTACGTCGTCTTTTATGCATCGTCAGAAATCGGCCAGTGTGCCTGGGTCTATATTGATCGATGTCCAAACTCTCCAGCAGAATTTGTTCCGCATCCGATAAACGTCTGAATGCTGCTTCCGCCGTAGATAATCCATCACGGACTTCTGGTAACGTAGTCGATGTACCAGAATTACGAAATAAGCTGCTATCTATGAAATAGTGAGCGTTTTTAGAATGTCATAAGTGATAAATTATCTTTTTAATCTTAAAACGAAAAAAAAAATCATAACTTTATTTACTAAAAGTGTAAAATAATTTGATAATATTTTAAGTTAGCATATAAAATCATTTTAAACAGAAAAATATTGTGACCTTTGTTTTTCTTTAATCCTTGTATATAAAATATAAAAAACATTAAAAGTAAATAAAAATATAAAAGTAATATTTAATATATATTTAAAAATGAGATATCGAAATATTTAAATAAAGCTTATTAAGTATTAATATTACTGCTCTAGAATTATTTTATTCATAATAAAATTTAATATCTTACATAGGATGTTAGCTATCAAATGAATTAAAAAATATATACTGATATAATTAAGCGAAGAAGATCATATTCAATTAAGGGTCTTAATGCCTAATAATATTTTTTGAATTTATTAATTTATTAAGTTCAAGCAAATTGCGTGTCGATTGCTTGTCAATTTAATTTTTGTACACAATATCTCGAGTAATCGATTGAGTCTAATAAGAAACCAATTAGTCCAGTTATTATTAGTCGTTATTGAGATTTAATAATTACGTTTTTGCTTAACTAGATGGCTCGCGTAAAAATACATAATCTCACTTGCTGCTGATGCGTGCACTTGGAAGAAATTATCGTGTCTCTTGATTTCTTCTTTCGGAAAATCGAATCAATTATTACTTTTGATATTATTATGTATCACGCTATTGATTATTATTTTAATAAAGTGCGAAAAAGAAAAGATTAGAGGTAGACAATATTGGTTAAATGATAGTTATTTGTCTTGTTAAAAGAATAGCGAATAAGAATGCCATTAGACATACATAAATGATGAGTAGATGAAATATTAGAATGTTGGAATGAATGCACCTCGAGTAATTGCAGAAAAGAATAAAAAAGGATGGAAAAATAAAGACAAAAAAAAGACTAATGTAGAAAACAAGAAAGGCAAGGAATATGTAGGGAGGATTAGAAAAAAAGAAAAAGAAAAAGATAGAGAAAAAACAGAGAAAATATAATGGAAAAAAGAAAGAGAATAAAAGAGAAAACTGAAAGAATGATAAGAAAGGAAGAAAGAACTGCAGATACTTGCGATACAACATAATATCTTGCAGATTTATACACGGAAAGATTATATAATATTCTAGTATATAATATTCAAGTTTCAAAAATTGTTAATTGCTTTGTTACAACGACTAACCTAATAACATATTTTATCATTGCTCAGCTAGCAATTTAATTTATTGTAACTATTATATGACATATTTATTTGCTTTTTAACTATGCATTCTCCGTTAGTTAATTTATGCTGTAAATTTAATAATATTATTTACATTTTACTGTAGTCTTCATTTATATATGACAAAAATATCTTTAAGGATGTAACATTAACAGAAAATGCAAATTTTACATTATTAATGACACATATCATTACTTTCTAACAATAACGGTAATTTCTAATATATTATATCTGCAAAAAATTATACGATGTATGAGCCGCTGTTTGTTAGCTACGTAGCATTTGCTTGGCAAACAAACTGGCAGCTTCACTGCCTTGAACGCACCCATCATGTCATTATCTTAATAATATTTTTATAATACAAATATCCAATATAAAAATAGGAATGATTAACTATTATATTGCTCTCTTATATCTCGAAGTACATAAAATAAAAAATTAATCGTTTTTAGTATTTACATCATATTTTTTATTCACTTTTTACTTGAAAATAATTTAAACAGAGAAAGAAATTAATTATCTTGCAATTTCAGTGCCGTAACTTTGTTGTATATAATGAGTAAGATAAGTTATATGATAGAGCATAAATAGAAATTTGACAATTTCAAATTTTCATCAGGCAAATTAATGACTAATATTAATATGTGAATTATAAATATTTGCATTTTTTTTTACTTTAAATTACACATGGGCTATTATTCGGTCTAATGCTAAAGTGAAATACACACAGTCTCTTATTGATTTGTTATTAATAATTTAATTTTAATATTATCAATACTAAAGAACATTTTATGAACTTGCTTAATATTAAGCTAAGAATGAAAAAGATACTAACCTGACCTATCCTAACTACGTTATAAAATAACATATATTAAGATCATCATAGTTTTTGCATTTCTAAGTGTGAAATGTTATTTATAAAATGTATACTATTCAAAATGTTTCTGCATAAAATGTAACTTTTAGAATTTCTTGATAAAAAGAAATTTTTATTAAACTAATCGTGTAACATTAAATGTAATGAATCTTTTTGCAACTTTACACTTTAATTTAATTATTACAAAAAACTGGCTGATTAATGATATAATTAAATTATTGGTATTATTAAAATATTTTATTATATACAAACATTAATTGTATAATGTGTGTGTATAACTCATAAAATAATTGTTATCATATTCTAAAATTTACAAAAGAAAAAAAATAGAGTTACTCACCGGAAATACACACAAACACCGCATTCTGTTCCTCGCTGTCCACCGTTACCTCGTCAGTCCGCCTCTAAAATAATTTAAATAAATTTTATATTAATTGTTATTTTCATTAGAGCTGTTTTTATTTAACTTATAATTAGCATCATTGTCACAGTAAATATTAATTAGTGTAAGAGATTTTCACATAAAATATGAATGCTTTTTTTTTGTTTAATAAAAGAAAAGTTAATATGAGAAGTAGTAATAATTTGTTATTTGCATGTGTGGTAGGTCAACGAAGATGTAATAATTAATATTTTAGAAAAATAAATTTGTTCGTTAAAAAGTTATACTGATCCAACTAAATAAATCAGAAAATATCAAAACTTTAATTGTAATAGAAAAAGAATTCTGGTTCAATTGATTTGTCTACGTAATGAGATTACAATTAAAATTCTAGTATGTTTAACAGGAAGAAATTAATCATAAGTCTAGTTATTTTTAGAAGAATTTTGATTTGTTCATTTTCTAACAAATATATTAATCAAACATACCAGATTTTTAATATATATGCAAGATTTTTTTTAGTGTAAAAATGCGTTTTTGATATGAGCAAGAAACATCTATAATATGTAATCATATCTTTATGACACACTTTCTGACACTTGCTGATTTGTGACAGTTCTTTCTTCGCTTTTTGAATATGAAATAATGTTCTAGACAGATGTATAGTATTAACTATATATAACTTTTATGTGTAACAATAATAACGTGTTGTATAACATTTGTTAAAGTGCTAAAGAGAAATCTAGCCAAACATTTTTGGCCGAATGTCAAAAATTAGAATGAGGCAGTGAAAAATAAATATAGATGCAACTGCACTGACCTATACAAATAATACCATTTTATTTACAATTACGTAATTACAAGTATTGTAAAATGATTATCGTATCAGTCTTTTAAATATTTTATAAATAGAAAAAAAAATATTTCTGTGTATTTCCTTGCCGCAGCGCGTCCACTGCATTGCCGTTTCGTCAATCTTCACCATATATACATATCGCATACTTCGAAATACATACCGTATAATTCGGAAAATGTGTAGTTGTTCATTGTAATTATAAAAAAATGCAATTACAACGAAAACACTAAAATGTGTAATATATTGAACAAATGAAAAAATCTAATCTAGAAATCACGTAAATAAAAATCTAGAACTACCATTATCGATTACCATAATCGTCTAAAAGCAAAGTAATTAAAAATAAGAAGTTAATCATATAAGTTTACTAAAAGTTCTCAAATATAAAATATTTTATTTTCAAATTTATTACTTGCAAAGTTCAAAAGTTATCCAAAATATACAAAATTATACAAGAATAAAATATATTCAAGAAATAAATTGTGTTGTGCTGACTTTAATATTAAAATATTTCTGCAATTTATTTCTTTTAAGATAGCCTAGCTCTAAATTTATTGCGAAAAATTCTAAAAGAAAAAATCTGTTAGTAAATAGAACTAAGATTAGAAGGGACTTTTATAACTTTTTTCAAAAATACATTTTTAGAATGTAATTTGATATAATCAAATTTGTCTTTAAATAAGTTTTATGTTGATTACAAAAGCATTCTGAAAAAGCAGTAATTAGAATATTAAATTATTTAAAAAATATGAATACATTGTTACATGCGTTTAAAATCATAAAAGTTGTGTTTAAAATATTTTTAACATTTATGATTTTATTGATGTATGCTTATAGAAATATAAAAATATTCTTTTTTTAAAGAATGTTTTAATCCTTTCAGATGCGTAATAGTATTCATAAAAAATACATTTATTTAAAAAAATAAGATTTTTAATTATATTACAACATATTTATAAAAGATCATCAAAATGACACTCAAATATGTTTCCTTGTCAGTATATTGATTTATATTATAATATAATATATTAATATATACACAATTCACACAATGAAAGGCTGACGGCCATTTTAAAGTACTTATGTAGTTGCAGTACACGTAACTGTACACAATTATGCTACTGCGTCAGTGCGTTTATTTCGATCTATTTATTTTTCCACTGCATTATTTTAGTTTTTGATATTTCGCCAAAAATGTTTGAATTTCTCGTTTGGATTTTAATTAACACATTGTTTATACGTAAAAATTATTTATAATATATAACATTAAATAATTATCTTCAGTTACTTCAAATTAAGAAATGAATATTACAAAAAAATATAAGTAGTTGCCAAACAGCAAGTTACGAACTAACTACAGATAAAATGTTTGCATAACGATGTTTGTATCTCATTTTTTAAAAGTGCGAAAAACAATACATCAACATAAAAGAGTGACGAGCAATTGGAGTCAAATTTATCATACGTTAATTGCTCTTTAATTTTCCTTAGAAGTTATAAAAAATTATAAAATAATTTAAAAATTAAAAAATATAAAAGATTATTCATTTAAAATATCTTTTATATTTTTTTAATGATACTTAATCAAAATGACGCATGTCGATTTTGCTTATAGTAAATTGGAAACTCATAAAAAAAATGTGTTTCCTCTTTCAATTTATTTCCATTTTCTTAAATGAAATAGTATAAATTTTTAAATATATTTCCTTATACTATATCTAGATATAATATGTTCTTCATATATTTTTCGTAGTTATTCTACATAAATATATTAAAGTTATAAAAAATAAATAATTTACAAAACATTTTATACTTTATTCTAGTATACATATTTTAATATGAAATATAAAATAATTCGAAAGTTATTAATTTTTCGATAATCCTTAATATCTTTATGCACAAAATAATGAGATCAATTGATTAAAGAAAACATATAGTTGCTTTTCAAAAAGATATAATTGCATATTGCAAATCTTCATTTAAAATAAAATTGTTAAAATTTATTTAAATAATAACTCAAGGTCTATTAGTTTGTTATAATTTTTCAAAATTATAACAAACACTCTTTTATTGGAGATATTTTGTATTTCTACTTACATACTAAAAGCAGTTCAAGTAATAATATATTTCATGAACAACTATTGAAAATCACATTTTATTACACTTTATTAAATTCTTTTTTTTTTTTTTTTATAAAATATCTCACAAAATTGTAATAAAATAGAAAATAGATATGTTATTTCATCGAAGAAATTTACCATTAAATATATTTATAAAAATAATTTAAAACTTTCGTTTAAATCATTACATGTAGAGAGCTGTTTAAATAAAATAACTTTAATTAAAAAAAATTTGTTATAACTCTATTATTTAAAAAATAATTAAAAATAAATACTTAAATCAAATACAGCGTACCTATAATATAAGTACATACATATGTCAATAAACTCTTTAAGGAATGTATTCATTGGAAAGATTAGACAAAGAGAACAGTCGTTGCACTTCCTTCAATTGTTTCTATATTGCGTGAAACACAATAACAGAAAGCAATAGCGTAACAAGTCGGCGGTCAATATTCGTGAATTGTATTCTTGGTTATGTCGTGTCTCGTGCCAAGTGTACACGCGGCAGCGGCAAGACAGATCGGGTATACGCGAGCCGCTTAGTTGAGCCGAAGTACGATTATCGGATCTCAATAATTGCTGGACCAGTTAAGTTATAATAGTCTCAATCAATAGCTGGAGGCCCTATTGCATAAGAAGAGTCTTTAGTTTTGCTCTCTATGGAGAGCACGAATAAAGATATTATAACGTAACGATATTATAATCGCAAAATCCAAATTTGTAAAAATGTACGTATAATGAAACGTCACCCCATCTTCGTCATGACATCCTTATTCCTACATATTCTGTCGTAAAAGTGCGCTAGCGAAATGCTCGAAGCTATAATATGCGTGAATCTTTGTAATGAATGAAATTAAATGTATGAGAGGTTTAGGATACAAATTCATATAAATAATTTGATAAAAAATATGTATTACGTTCGCTATATTAAGAATATTCAATATATTATCATATATTCGCAATATAGAAGAACGTTCGTAATTATTTTTATTATGCAGGGTGTTCCATTTTTTATTTTTACATCAAAATCTTTCGAAAAATATATAAGATATAAAAAAATATTTTAGATGAAAGTTATATGGCCTGACAAAGCATAAATAAAATCAAATTAAAAAAAAATGTTATCTTTCATATTTTTCAAGATATTTCAATGTAAAAATTAAACCTTTATATTATAACATATTATAATAAAAAAGTTATATAAGGAAAAAAATATCTTAAAATATTATGTATTCTTCTTGAGATATTTAGCTTTATATTCATGTTATCATCAGGGACGTGACTAGCAAGTATATGCGTGCATAGCACGCAATGCGGCCAAAACTGACAATGAGATTTATTGCATTATATTTGGACGTACTACAAATGCGATGAAATCGCAACTTCGTGAATGTAGTAAAATAGTAAAGTAACGTCTATAAATACAATATAGTGACGTCTATTTTGATCGACTAGACGTCATTAATGCCGTCTTTTGACGTCATTCTGTTACTTGAGTCGGCAGTTTTCATTAAAACTATTTCCTTCTATTTTATATATTAAGATATATCTTGTACAATTTATTTTTTATCTCCATTTGTTAATTGAAGATTCCTAACTACAAACTATATACGCATACTTTTAGAACGGCTAACTCTTTTTGTGCCTCTGGTTATCATATAATTATCTATATTAGATATTTTATTGAATATAATATTTTTAATATCAAAACGTGACAGTAAAACAATTATATTATAGTGTATAAATTTTATTTTACTTGATTTTGTAATATTATTACTTTTATAGAGAAAGATAAATAACAATATTATAGCATTTATTATCGTTAACGATAAATAATATTAAATAGCCGTAAAATAATGATAGGTATTGAAATGATAAAATTAGTACAATCAGTAAGATATGAATATTTGATTACAGTTAATTCACTGCTTTTTTTAGTTTCACATCGTAGCAAAGGCTTAGTTCTTCTTTTTTTGTTTCTCATTCATCTCACTCAGTGAGATGATGCAGGAGAAATGTTTTTTTTGTATAACTTAACTTGAA